GTAAGTAAGAGAACAAATGAAAGGAAATGGAATACGTTGTGGTCTGATTATGAGGTACGGGTGGAAGTTGAATCAAAGAAGAAAGCATGGTTAGATTTACTAGCAACTAAAGCTGGTAATTCTGGTGGTATGAATGATGAGATTGAAAGAAAAAAGGCAGAATTTGACGTCTAAATAAGAGAGTAAAAGAAGTAGTTGAAAGAACGGATAAGAATTATAGAAGGATATCTGATAATTTCCAGGCTAATATAAAAATGTTCTGGAAACTCGTAAGAACTGCCAGGGGAAATACAAAACAGCCTATAATTTATGCTATAAGAGACGAGAATGGATGTATTCTGAATGATGAAGTTTCGAATTTAAACAGATGGAAGGAATACTTTGAAAGCGTGTTTATGAGTGAAGAGTCGTTTGAATTAAATGAACAAGAAATTCCGAAAGAAGTGGAAAAGGGTATGGAGATAATTGTAGATGAAATAATGAAATCAATGAAAAGCATGAAAGCAGGTAAAGCAGCTGGATATGATGGAGTATCACCCGAGATGCTAAGGGCTGGAGAGGGAGTGGTGGCAGGCCTGCTGTACACCTTGTTTAATTTGTGTTGGGAATTAAAACGGGTACCGGATGACTGGTGTAAAGCAGTTATAGTACCAATATATAAAGGAAAAGGGTCACAGCAGGACTGCAAAAACTACCGTGGTATCAGCTTGCTTAGTATTGTGGGTAAACTGTATGCTAAGGTTTAATTGAAAGAGTTATGAAAGAAACTGATGGAAAAATTTGGGATGTACAAGCGGGTTTTCGAATTTATGGGGTGTACAGATCAAGTCTTTTCCATGCGCATGATTGCGGAGAAGTTTTTGGCTAAAAACCAGAAAGTTTTTTGTGCGTTCATGGACTTGGAAAAGGCTTATGACAGAGTGGACAGGAATGTGTTATGGCAAACACTGAACTCATATGGGTTGAGCGCTGGTTTGATACAGGCATTGAGGTCTCTTTATAGAGATTCTAGTGCTTGCGTCAGGATCAATGGGGTCTACTCGGACTGGTTTGGCATCCGAAAAGGTGTCAGATAGGGCTGTGTGGCTTCCCCTTGGCTGTTCAACCTATTTATGGACAGGTGTTTGCAAACTTTGAAAGATGAAGAATGTGGGTTAAGAATGGGCGAGTTAACCGTCAAATGCCTTTTATATGCCGATTATCAAGTCATATTTGCGTCGTCGGCAGCTGAGTTGTAAATGATGGTTACATTAATGAACTGGGCATTAAAAGAAAGAGGAATGAAAGTGAACGCAAGTAAGACGAAAGTGATGGTTTTTGAAAGAAAGAAAAGCAAAACGGTATGTGAAATAAGAATAGAAGGAGAGTTAATTGAGCAAGTGGATGAGTTTGTGTATTTGGGATGTGTATTTAGCAGGGATGGTAGATATGATAAGGATATAGAAACGACGAGTAAATGCAGGGAATAGAGTGAATGGGGCACTACACTCTATTGTGAAGAACCAGAATGTATCAAAAAAGGCACGTATGGTAATTCATAATGCTGTGTTAGTCCCTACTTTAATGTATGGTAGTGAAAGCTGGGTGTGGCAGAAGAAGCACGAAAGTAGAATAAATGCTGTAGAAATGCGGTCTTTAAGGAGTATGTTAGGGTTGAATCTGAATGACAGGGTGAGAAATTGCGTGATAAGAGATAAATGTGGTATGCAAGATGATGTTGTGACCAGGATTAAGAAATCGTGACAAGAGCTAAGAGATTTAAACATTCTTTTAGATAGGGAGGACTTGATACGTTAAATAAGACGCAGTAGAGCGCAGAAAGTATATGATTATTCCGACGAACACGGATTGAGAGCCACTTGAGTTTAGTGCGGTATTCCGAGACATGGTTATATTTACGAATCCCAAATATGAACTGTATACAGAGATTTTGGAGTCGCTCAAGTTTATTAAGTTGCTCCTCGGTGATATCAAGGTAAGAAATGTCAGCATAGTCGATAATAGGGAGTAGCAAAGATTGTGCAAGCGTAATTTTGGTGAAAATGGGTAAAAAGTAGTTAAGCCTCCGGAGTGAAGCATAAGCCGCAAACATTTTTCGGCTCACTGCGTTTATTTGGGGTGTCCAAGAAAAACTGGAATCCAAAAGGATACCTAAATTTTTAACGAATATATGGAATAAGGATACCATTAAAAAATTTAATAATTGTTTTTATATACCTTATATATAGAAGTAAGAGTGACTAACGAGCACTCGGTCCACCTAAGGTAAGGTAAGTGAATGCTGTGGACCACAGTTCTCCCCGATTAAGAATCAAAACATATTTGTTGGACTTCCACGTTAACAGTAAAATGATATTTAATTAAAACCTTATACTTACATACAATTGCGAAAATATTTCTTCATTGATTTTGTTTTCACTTTTAGATAAGTGAAAAAATTATATATAAATAGTAAAGTCATTTGTTTATTTATAATATTTAGCCATATTCTTTATACTACCTAGTCGAATTTTGAAAAGACTTTTTCTCGCTTTAAAAATAATAAAAACCATTCCAACACTATAATACATTATAGCTTGATAGGTAGAACCTCCCCTTAAAACAAAAGCTGTTGGTGTGACCGTATACCACTCTCTCCGTAACCTTTAACACTGCATACATAAAATTTCCAACATCGGCTTATGTAACTTTGTCAGCGAAGTATTTTGATTAAAATATAATTGTTCACTATTTTAAATACACACGAAAGCCGATATTTTTAAAATGATCTACAATATTTCGTAAAGCATAGTAATTCGACATATAAGCGTATGTATATTAGATGACCTTTTTACCGTCTGGAAAAAAAATAGAGTATAACATGTGAACTGAATATAAGCTCAATTGATCGTGTGCACTGTTATTTTACAAAAAATTTGAATTAAAATAAATTAATTCATTAAAATCTATCGAAGTTTAAATCATATCCACCCTACTTTACGAACAGCAAAAAACAATAAATTTAGTAGGTACCTTTGACCTTTTCAGGATCACAGGCTCAAGGGCAAAGGGCAAAGTAGTTGTACAAAATTTTTTTCAAACGTTTAATTGAAAAAATTGTTTTATTATCTATAAAATAGTGCCATAGGATTCTATTCCGTTAATATGTTACTCCCTATTTTTTTCCAGACGGTAAAAAAGGTCATCCAGTACGTGCTCATTTGATAAGTGCATTAATTTCTAGGAGCGTTATGAGATTACTCTGCTCAGCTTATGTCTGTGGGCAGAATTTTTATTTTTACAAAATATTTTCTTTTAGGAATGATAATTTTCTAACTATAGTAATTATATTTTAGCATATAGGCTGCATTCAGCTACTCTGTTCCACTCAATTGCGGTGCATACACCGCACTTCAATTAGTCACTCTCTAGGCGCTTGTAGAATTGTCACGTGTTGTGTTGATTAAAAAAATCTCTTGATAAAAATATGCCGTCGTGTGTACTTAGATATTGCACAAATAATTCAAGAAATATCAGTAAAAACCAAGGTATTACTTTTCATCGGTTAATAAGATATTTAATTAATAAAAAAGTATTATAAATTAATAATAAAATAAATTATTCCTAAGATGCCATCTTGTGTCATGTAATATAGATTATGAAATTAATTGGTTCAGATGCGACATTTCTGTGGGTACTTAAATACAGGACGAATATATTATTATACACATTTTTTTGTAGAAACATATATGAGTTATCATAATTAGGCCGACTTTTTCATATTAAATATGCTCATTATTCTTTTATATTATTTCTAGGTTTCCACATCAAATTCAAAGTGGAATAAATTTGTCCATTTTTAACTCTCGCGTGCCCAGCATTTATGAACGACTCTTATTCTAATTTAAATAAATATATTTGTAATTTAAATTTTATATTAATAAGTTTTGTTAAACATACATTTAGTATGTTTTTTTTTATATTTGACATAGATACCTTTTAAAATATTCAGATAAAAATATCATTAAAATGTAATTGTGATATAATATTATATAATTTTTTATTAAATAAGCAAATATAATATACAAAATAAATGACAAATTTTAAAAATTATTTTTGATATAATTTATCTATTTAACAATACAATCTATTATTACCTACTGATCATTCTACCTATGTTTATTCTATGATAAAAAAACAACCGCGCGAACACAGAGTAGTACACATGTTTTGTTTGAAATAGCTGTTCTAGTACGAAAGTACATATTACTTCAATTCATATAGGCTACTTTATGCCATTCGGTCATAACAGCCATTCGGGCTAACCCACCGTAACAGTCCATTTTATCTCTTGTACGGAGGATTTTCTTTAATTGGCCCCTTCTCCTCACTCAAACACTAAGCTTTTCTCCTGTATTGTGTTGGCACATAATAGTCATTCGATTTCAATTTCACAAGACCAAGTTAATAAAGTTTTCGGCAAATCTATTAATAATTCACTCACGAATACCGTATGATTCCAAAGACACGACGTGCGATCAGTTTACACCTTTGGGCCTCGATCTATTTAATGATTAAACCTTTCAGATACCTTCAAAATAATCTTAGAGTTAGATGGCTCTGTTAAATCACATATTCATTTATTTCAATTATATTCGTTAGAGGTATAAATGGCAAATATTAGTGCTTTCTAAAACTTACTTCATCCTTTCAAAAATCCATTACTCAACATTGCCTATGTTATATTTGTATATTCATTATATTATGATATAGTTACCACCCTTTGCAGGCGGACTTGAAACGATTAGCAACCAGTTACTTGTATTTGAGATGTTATCGGAAAGTTGCTGCTATTTAAGATGCAACTATTTCAGATTCCCTCGGTTGCCTCTAACAACACCCATAGACTGATGGGGGTATTTACGCTTACATAATACAACTTTATGTTTTTTAAAAATGTATACGAAGAAATTGTAATAGTGAAAACTTAGTTAAAAGATTAAACGTTTGCTTTGTTTCAGAAAAAAGGCTTCACCACGCCGGAACTCACTTGGTAAGTAAATATTCTTCATTACGTGTCAACGAGTATGCACAAAAGATTCGCATTAGCGTGAGTGAACTAGAGTGTGGAGGCTTTTCACAAGTGTCTCGCCCCGCACGCACGTGCACGCAATCGTGTGAGAAGAATGATACTTGTACAAAGACTTCTATATATACTACACATAGAAGCTTTTGTGCTTGTATGAAACTTCCGTACTCTCCTTCACTCTACCTTTACACACCACGCTGGGTTGTATGTACCCTGCCAAGACTATGCAAGTTATTTTAATAAAATGCACTCGTACACACACATGCAGCCAAAATCATGCTCATCGCTCTTCAGATGCGTACTCTCACGTAATACATTTCTCGTCTTGTAATTTAAATCAATGTAAAAATAATACTACTTCAATCGAAAGATACAAAATCTTTTTTATCCATTACATTTTTGATATATCATTTTATATTTTAAAACTCTAATAAATTTTTATGTGCCTTAAATCTATTTTTCTTTAATTTTAAAACAAAGCTTAAATACCTTTGTTTTTGTTTAGGCTGACGAATACTTATTGTTTAAATTGTTCACGAAATTCTTTTGAGTAAGGTGATGCGTGACTCTGTGAAGTTTACGTAGATTTTAACAACAGCTTAACTGAGTAGTTGATGACGATTGTCTCAAGGCGCCATTGGAGAACTTATTAAATTGTATCCACTAGAACTTCATATGTACACACATCAAATCACAGCACTTTTACTTATTAAAATTGCCTTCAAAGCATTATTTAAACGAAGGTTTATGAGCATTCGCTGGCGGTCAATTTCCGGCCAAAACTTTCGACTAAAACAGCGAATTACTTCCTTTTTCTACGAAGGAGAAATTATAACTTGTATATTTGATATTATCATGTTATTGACCCAGGATATATCAATAACATGTACATTGTATATATGTATTATATCAATGACATGTACATTATAACCTGGCCCTTAAATTCCCCTGGAGAATTATGAGGAGAACGAGGAGGCCATTACGAGGGATTTGTCATTATCTCACGACTGGCTAGTACTCTTAATTGCAGTGCTGGATATTTTTACTCACTTTCCCTTGCCTTGCCCTCCGATAATACTTAGATTATGTAGTTTTTGCACCAGTACTGAGGTTGGTTATACAACCATTCATTAACAGTGGCATAAGTATTTAGCGGCGTATATATTTAGATGGGGGTGCCGCAGGTTCGAACCCCGCATGAAACATTTTTTATATATGTCCACAAATATTTAAGTTATGTATATGAAACACTTCTACAAAACAAAAGGAAATACTACTGTAGGTCCTGTGTATCGTTTCAAGAAAAAAAAATGAAAATGAGTAAAAGGAAATAAACGGAACGATAAATATTAGAAAAAGCAGACAAGGTGGTACAAATCCGGTTAAGAGAGGTAAATATTATAAAAGGGTAACTAAAACATAAAGGAATAAATATAAAAGGGTAACTAAAACATAAAGGAAGAGGTCAATGGTATTCAGTACAAATTGTTGGAATGTGTACGCACTGGCTATGATGTATCAATATGATGTAATAGTACTTAAGTAGAAAGTGAAACAGTTATATATTTCACTTTACGAACACTAAGTACCTGTTAAGAAAAAAAAAACTAGTTGCCGTTCTAACTTAGTCCAGGAAAACTTAGGTACACAAAAATATGTAAAACTTAGGTGAGCTTTCGTTCGAAGTAAGTAAAGTCATGTCATGTGAACCAGAACAACTTATATAACAGACCACGTATGAGACCGGTTCCTTGAATCCACACAAGTACTTGACCTGACGCTGTGATAAAACTAGAAAGTGGTTATGTATAAATAATATTTAAGATAGTAGAAATTTTTTTTCGTTTTAAAATATATTCTAATTTAATTTTTAAACCGATTTCATAAATTCTATATTCAGACTTCAAAAACTAAAAAAATAATTTCCACACAATGGCTTCTAAAGTCGGAGCTTTCCTCCTAATTCATCAATACAACGTCTTAACACCGACTTCAGAAGCTATTATATGGAAACAAATTTTTTTTGAATTTTTGGACCTTTATTATTTATTTGAAAATTCATATACACGTAGTATAGATATAATATAATATATTTTAAGTACTAAACGAGTACACAGTCTAGTACATGGTAAGTAGATTCTGCAGCCCATAAGTCACCTAACTCCTACATACGAATCAAATGCTTAGAAAATGCTTCTGAAAGTATCATGCGGAAATTAACTTATTCGTTTTAGTTCTCTGAAGTCAGCTATTACTTTTGATCTAAAGCTTAATTTTTGGGGTAGGTCGATATTCTTCACGTGGTAGAGCCATGCTGCAGCTATATTTATTGTATAGTTGTAGCACGAATGGGTCGGCTCGACCGGGGAAGGACCACGCTCTCACAGAATACCAGCGTCAAATAGCAGCTTAATCCACCTGTTTTTCGTATGGTGAGAGAAACCAGAGACCCTTTTTACTGGAA